TGGCTGAAGAGGTCCGAGGAGCAAGAAAAAAATGGATCCCAGAGTCCTTTTTGGGAGGGGCTAGCCAGCTGGGGTCGAAGATATTTGTCATGACTTTGAGATGTAATGAGCCTCCCAGGCTGACTTCCCTAGACTGTGGCAGAGGGACAGAAGAGCAGATTAGGGGTGGCAACCCTAAAGGCTTCTCTCTGGTGGGAGCCAACTGGAGTGCAGACCACAGTGACCAGAGGCGTTGTTCATTTAACTAAACAGGTTCACATTCCAGTGCAGATTTCTAAACTGTTTTCAGTGGATCGATTCCCTGATTGGCCTCCCATATGGATAAGGGTGAGGTCACACCTCAGCAGCCGTGAACTCAGGGAAAGCAACATGGAGTGGACATGACTAAAGGTGTGGGTGCTGAGAAGGGAGGGTGTGCTTCTGGGAGCAGACAGGCCCAGAGGCTGTTGTCCAGGATGTGCACTGCAGGGTGGGTTCAGGGGAGTGGGCTACCCTGTGGAGAACTTGCTAGACAGGCCAGAAAGTTCACCCACCCCACATCTGTGTGCTGGCTTCATCCTGTTCCAGGGATTTAGTTGTGGACAGACCAGCTCCTGCCCTCAAAGAGCTGACTTTCTCTTGAAAGGAGCAGATAAAAGCCAAGTAAAAACCAAACGAGGGGCGCCCGGGTGGCTTAGTCGGTTAAACGTCCGACTTTCACTCAGGTCATGATCTAGCGGTTCGTGGGTTCGGGCCCCGCGTCGGGCTCTGTGCTGACTGCCAGCTCAGAGCCTGGAGCCTGTTTCAGTCTGTTACTCCCTCTCTCTCTGACCCTCCCCTGCTCATGCTGTCTCTCTCTCTCTCCTAGAAATAAATAAAACATTAAAAAAAAAAAAAAAACAAAAAACCAAACGAACAAGATGGGCTGTGGCCATCTCATCACATAAGGTGAGATTTCTTTCCTGATACCATCAGCAAAGAAGCTGTTGCCTTTACTCCACTCTTGGCAAAGGGACTGCTCTCAACTGCTTAATTGTGAACAAGATACTATTTAGCGAAGACACGGTAACCCGAAAAAATCTTGATTAATGCTAGTTTGGGATGCTGATGGGAGTCTGTATTTGGCTAAGAAAAAAGGAGATAAAAAACTGAAACAGATTTCATCATAATTGTGTGTTGAATGTCATTTTAAACAAGCCTTTAAAGGTCATTTCAAAAGGAAGACACCAGGTGGAGATCACTAAAGGGCATCTTCAAGATGTGGTGGTCCCAAAGATGTGTGGATGGGTTCTGAGCTCAGGAAGACATTCCTGTGGATGGTGCTATATCTGGATTCAAAATATGAAAAGCTTAGATGCTTATGTTGAAGATAGCTGTTCATAATTTCGATAAAATGTGAGAGTGGGAAAAATGGCTCCAAATGAATGTGGTTTCCATGCTATGTGAGTTTTTATTTTATTTTATTTTTAATGTTTATTTATTTGAGAGAGAGAGAGAGTTTTCGAGTGCGTGAACAGTGGAGGGGCAGAGAGAGAGGGAGACAGAGGATCCAAAGCAGGCTCCAAACTGACAGCAGAGAGCCCTATGCAGGGCTTGAACTCACAAACTGTGAGATCATCACCTGACCCAAAGTCGGACACTTAACTAACTGAGCCACCAGGTTCCTTATGTGAGTTTTTAAAATTAAACGTATTTTGAGATAATTATAGATTCAGATGCAGTTGTAGGATGTAATAAAGAGATTCATTGTGTGCTTTGCCCAGTTTCTCCAAAGATAACATCTTCAAACCACAACTGTATATCACAGCCTTGATACCAACACTGATGAATCGCAATCTTAGATTTCTCCAGTTCCACTTACAACCATATGTATGTACTTAGCTTAACACAACTGTATCACACATGTAGGTTCCTGTATCCACAGTCAAGATAGAGTATTTCCATTACCAAGAGGACCTCATCTCCCGCCTGCCCCCTCATGCCTAAAACCACCACTCTGCTCTCCACTTCTAAAATTTTATCTTTTCAAAAATGTTAACAAATGGAATTATGAAAAATAATAAAGAGAAACTTCACTAAAACGGAATAGGGAGTTTCCACAAGTGAAGCTCTTAATTGCAGACTCAACAGAGGGGAGGGACCTCCTAAGGTGGTGCTACTATCAATACTAATTTATTATCCCAGCTGAAGGAAGGTTTCCTTCTCCCCCAGCAACAGCCCACCCAATGAGAGACTGCGACAGCCCAGCCAATGAGAAGCCACTACACTTCCAGCTCCCAGCTGGACTTCCTGCCTTCCTAACTCCTTTCCTCTGTAAAGAAGCCTCCTCTCTTTTGTTCTCCAAACTAGCCTATGGTTTTTCAAGTAGGTTGCTTGCCCTGGACTGCAATTCTCTGATGTTTCCAAAGAAGCACATTTTTGCTGGTAAAATAACTGGCAGTTTTATTTTTAAAGTTAATAGATTATAAAGGATATAACCTTCTGAGCTTGGATTTTCCCCCCACTCAGCATAATTATTTTGAGATTCACCCAAACTGCTTCCTGTATGAACAGTCCATTCCCACTGAGCCCACTCCATGGTGTGGATGCACTGCAACTGGCTCAAACATTTACTCACTGAAAGACATCTGAGTCATTTCCAGCTTTTAGGTATCACAAGTAAGCTGCTGTGAACATTTGGGTAAAGTGAAAATAAGTTTTATTTTCCTGGAATAAATTCTGAGAGTGCAACTGCTAAGTCATATAATAACTGCATATTAGTTTTATAAGAAACTGTCAGCCTGTTTTCCACAGTGGCTGTACCATTTACATTCTTATCAACGATGGATGAGTAGCTGAGTTACCCACAATCTCACCATCATGTGATATCACTGTTTTTTATTTTAGCCATTCTGAGAGGTGTGTAGTGGTATCTCATTGTGTTTTTTAATTGTGGCTTTAATTTGTATTTTCCTAATGACTCATGATGTTAGCCATTCATAATTACTTGCCATTTGTATATCCTTTTCAGTGAAATGTCTCTTCAGGTCTTTTGCTAATTGAACTTTTGCTTTGCTTTTTTACTGTTGGGTTTTGAGGGTTCTTTATATAGTCTAGATACCAGTCCTTTGTTGGATACTGGTTTGCAAATATTTTCTCCCACTCAATGTCTACAAAACTCTTTGTTAGATTATTTGCTTATTTATTTATTTATTTTTGAGAGAGAGAGAGCACAAGTGTGTGTGCTTGTGGGCAGGGGAGGGGCAGAGAAAAAGGGAGAGAAAGAGAATCCCAAGCAGGCTTTGCCCTTGCAGGGGCTGGAACTCACAAACTCATGAGATCATGACCTGAGCCGTGAAGAGTCCAATGCTTAACCAAGTGAATCACCCAGTTGCCTCTACAAAACTCTTTTGATAGGAATTGTATTAAGCCTATAGATCAACCTGGGAGAACTGACGTTTTTACTGTGCTGAGTCCTCTGATCCATGAACAGGGTACATCTCTCCCTTTTTTATAGGTCTTGATTGATTTCTGTCATTTGTGTTGCATAATTTTTAGCATACAAGTTCTGTGTACAGCTTGCTAAATTTGTACCTGTTAACCTTAAAAATATAAGTCAGTTATTTTACGAGGAAAAAAAAAATGAGTTTACTCAGGAATACCAAAGAATTGCAATTTGGGACAAGCAAGCTACAGCCAAAATCATAGGCTAGTCGAATAAACAAAGGAGAGGAATGTTATTTTAAAGAGAAGGAAGAAGTTAGGAGAGGTTATTTTGAGTGAAAGTCCATTGGAAAAAGGCAAGAGTGTACAGTGATGACAGTTTCTCACTGGCTGAGTTTCAGGGGTGGTTAATTTCTTGTAGGAGATGCAATGCTTTTTTTTTTTTTTTTTTTTTTTTTTTTTTTTTTTTTTTTACTGTGGGGCCTGTAACTGATGACTCTTTCCTGTTCATGATTCTTCTGTTAGGGTCTGTACTGGCAATTTTTGATATTGAATGGTACGGTATGAGATGAGAGCTCCCCCTTCTGGACTCCTGACTCCATTAAAAATTTTTAATTTTCTGAAGTAATTGTAAATGGTATTGTGTCTTTCATTTTAGTTGCCACAAGTCCGTTGTTGGTATGAAAAAAGACGACTGCCACCTTACTGAGCTGCCTACTCCACATGAGAGCCCTAGGGATGGGGAGGAGGGCCCCCCTTAGCTGAGCAGGAGGGTCAGAGTGCCAAGCTTGCATCATGTCCATCTTTGTAAGCCCCGCAGAGACCACCGGTGACCTTAGGAAGAGTCATATTTGGAGAGTACAGGGGAAGACTTCCCAGGTGAACTTCAGGCTGAGGAGGGAGCTGGAGAGGAGGCTGCCCCACCACCAGGGTGTCCTTGTGGAAGAGAGACAGCGGCCACTCCCTCCTCTCTGCTTTGCAGCTCACAGCTCTCTCCCCATTCTGCCCTAGCTGTTTCCTCAATTGCAAACTGCAAGACAATAACCGGATAGGGGAGTCTGACTGCCCCCAAGTTCATCGCTGTGGCACCGCCCTTCCCCTGGGTAGGATGTGCTGGCCTCCTCCTCAGCCAGCACCGGCTCTGCCCAGTCCCCCGGTTCCTGCTTCCCAACAAGGGCCCAATGTAATGACGAGTCTGGATTCCAGGCTCTTGGCAAACTGACCCCAGCCTCCTCTTCCATGCTGGCCTCCTGCTGCTCCTTGTGACTTGCTTGGACGGCAGCAGTTGGGGGGGGCGGGTAGGTGTGGGGGACCTTTCCACAACTCCTTTCAGGAAATGCGGACCTTCTGCTGGGCAGAGAACTTCGTGCGGTGCCCTCTCCTATACCCACCCACGTGGGCGTGTCCGCCTTGCGACCACACGGAGGCCGTGACCTGCTTCGCTCCGGCGCAGGGACTTTGTCCCTGGTTTTGTGGCAGATACTTCCATCCTGGCCTATCCTCTGGGCGGTGCAGTGACCCCAGCCCCCCGGGGCGGGGACGGACCCCGCGCGCCCCGCCCCGCGCGCCTGGCCCCACCTCCCGGGGCCCTCCCGCCCCCGGCGCCGTCCCGCCACCCCCGCGGCGCGAGCGGCCGGCCATGGCCCTACCGTCGGGGGCCCGGCTCGGGGCCGACGCGACCCAGGCCCTGAGCGCGCTGTGCGGTTACCGCGCCTACGGGCGCCGCTGGGTCTTTCTGCTGGTGCTCAGCCTGCTCAGCTTCTCCAATGCCACGGTACGGGGTCTGGGGCTCCTCCGGGAAAGGGCGGGGGGGGGGCGGCCCTAGCTCGGACCCCGCCTGAGTCTGCGCGGTCTTCGCCCTCCCGCGTCCCGGTGCGCCCAGCGCGGGGTCGGTCTGCAGGGACCCTGACCGCACCGGGGGAGCGCCGGGAGCGGAGGGGGCGGTGACCTCCGCGGCGCGGGGGCGCGGGGCCGCAGGCCGCAGGGAGGAAGGCCTGTGTCCTCCAGGGGGCAGAGCCTGGGTCCTGTGGCCTGCAGTGCTTTGGAAAGAATCCCTCCACTCCATCAGGAGGCGGGAGTCACTGTCGTAGCTGGAAAGGGGTCTTCCTCCGGAACACCCAACATCTGGCTATAGGCCTTCATGATCTGGCTCCTGCCCTCCCTCTCCAGACTCCCCACCCGCCCCACTCCCACCAGGCAGGCAGGGCTCAGCCGTCTTCCCTGGGTTTTTGACTCAGTATGGGGGCCCATCACAGGGGTCCTTCTTTATGCACAGTCTCCATAGCTCCCCAGTGACTGTTACCTATTCTAGAACGGTTCCCACTGCTGGCAGTGACCCTGCCCTGGAAACCTGCACTGAGCGGAACCCAGAGATCGGTTGATCAGACAGTGAGAACACCGTCTATCAGTTTCAGGGGCTCCGCTCCCCAGCCTGCTTCTCTCCAGCTCTCCCCTGAGCCCCCTGTTTTTCTGAGCAGAGGTTTGGGCCCCTCTTTCCCTAGCCCGTCACACACAGTGGGCTCGGTGGGGGTGAACCGAGTGTGGGCAGTGTGGGCAGACACTGCCTCAGGGAGGTTCGTGAGCAGCAACCACTCTTACATGTTATTCCAAACTGATCAGGGCTTTTTCCCTCTTGTCCTTGCTGGACAGGGTGTGGGGAGCCCGCCCTGTGCTGGACAGGTGGCACCCACAGCCCGGGCCCGAAGTCGGCTGTGGCTTCGGAAACCTCTTTTCTCTGCGGGACTCACCGCTGTGGCTTGGCCGCCAGGTGCCTCTGTAGCTGCTAGGGAGCTGGAGGTGGCTTTGAGCACAGCGGTCTGAGACACAGAGCGGGCGTCTCCTTCAGGCCCTGGAACTGCTTCGGTGACTTTGAGAGTGGGTTGGCATCGCGAGTGGCCCTGAGAAGTCCCTTGGACACTGAGGTGGAGTCGTGCTGCACGCCCCTTTGGTCCACAGACCCTTATGTAGCAAACAGGACCCTCATCAGGAATTAAGACCCCTGCTCCGGTCACCACAATAGACACTGACCATCAGGCTAACACCAGCCGAGTCCCCTTCGTGTACTTTGTCTGCAGCCAGGTGACCACAGCTCGCTGGTTCTGAGAGGGCAGTGCCGGAGGCACGTGGAGCAGCGTCTGGAGTGAGGTCTGCGTGGCCTCACGGTGCCTCAAGGAGACAGCCCGGTGGTCTGAGCAGGAGCCAGCATGTGGGGTCTCTGTCCGCACACTGGAAGGGGTATGAGGAGGCACCAGGCAGGGCTGGGAGTGGCCTGAAGGGAATTCTTGTATGCAGTGGAGACAAATTATTGTCCCCATGTTGCCTTGCACGGTTTAGACCTGTCTCTGCCCTGCCAGCCACAAGCTTTGGGCAAGAACAAGCAATGGGCTCAGGTCAGCAGAGCTGGTTTGGAGCAGACGCCACATTTTGTCTCTGGTCAATCAGGCTGGGCAGGAAGCAGCCTGCAGCCCTGGACCCGCATGGGGTCTTTTTCTGAACCTGGAAGATCTTCCTCTGTTTTGCCCTTTAAAAAAAGGAAGAAAAAAAAAAAAAAAGGGAAGAAAAGGCAGCTGTTGCCCAAGTTCTCTGTCATGTGAGACTTTGTGGTTAGTGTCTGGGTCAGCAAGCCTGGATCTCACTGGCTTCACCGCGGAGGGTGTGGCCGCGGCGGCGCCTGCATTTCTGGGTCTCTCAGATTTGCAGTGATTGCGGACTTTACATTGTGGTGCCCTCGACTCGGGTCCCCCCCGGCCCGCCTCCCTTCTCCCACCTGCAGTAAGCCTTGGAGAGCCCCTCCTCCCCTCTTGACCCACCCATTCGGGGGTCTCCCCTCCCCTCCGCCAGGGAGGTCAGTGGTCTTCCCCACTGACCCAGTCGAATTGCTGTTTGCTGAAGGTCTGTGGAGTTGAGTCCCAGCACTTGACAGGACCTCAGGCTGGGAAGTGTCACCTGTCAGGGAGGGCCTCACCTCCCCAGCACCTGGGTCTCCTGTAGGACAGGTGGGCTGGCTTTGGTCAGGGCCACACACGGTCCAGGAGTTTTCCCCTGGGGCTCAGTCACTGAGTTTGCAGACAAAGCCAGAGAGACCTTTTGGGCCCCTTTCCGTCCCATTTCCCCTCCCCACCCCCCGTTGAAACATCCCTTCTACTCTCCCTTCAATGACTGCAGGCCCACCCTGCCTCCTACCCTTATCCATCTGAGTGTTCACCACGGGCACTGAGTGTCCCCCGCGTGTGCGCCTCTGCCTAGCCAGTCTGGGCTGTCTATACATCTATGCGACTGTGGCACCAGGTCCACCGGCTCCCCTCATCCAGTCCCCCTCTTCTATCCTCCCAGGCTCCATGCTGTCCCGTGCCGGATCTAGGCCCCTTCATGCCCGCTCGCCACATAGAGCTCCCCTCCCCCTGCAGACACCTGCCTCTCACTGGCAGCCCTCTGGGCTTTCTCCTTAGAGGAGCAGACACGGGCAGCCTCTGTCTGCCCCCCAGGACCGTGCCTGCGGGATGGTGCTGTTCTGCATCCTGGGCACACTGTCTGACACTCCCCTACCATGTGCTCCCGTGGCAGCGACTGGATGAAGGCACTGGCCCTTACCGGGCCGCCGGGCACTTTCCCTCCCTCAGGCTGGCTGGCTGAGCCTGGGACAGTGGGTGGCTGTGGTGTCTGTGGCACCCGCCCCATGGGCTGACGCCGGTGTGTGTCCACAGCTGTGGCTCAGCTTCGCGCCCGTGGCCGACATGACTGCCCACCACTTCCTCCTCTCCACTGAGCAGATCAACTGGCTTTCACGAGTCTACCTCGTGGCATCCATCCCATCCGGCGTGGTGGCCATCTGGGTTCTGGATTCTGTTGGGCTCCGCTGGGCAGTGAGTCAGACCCCACACGAGGGGCAGCTCTCGAATGGGGCAGGTCCTTGAGGGAGGGCTCAAGAGCCATTGCTTCCTCTCTGGGGGTCTCCAGGCAGAGCCACTGGGGTGGCAGGACAGTGGTCGGGTGCTGGGAGGGGAGTCCGGGCTGGGCCTGGCAGCACTCCACCCCCATCCCTGCAGACCATCGTGTGTGCGTGGCTCAACTTTGCTGGGAGCGTGTTCAGAACCGTGCCCTTCATGATCGATGAAATCCAGGACCCATTTGCCTTCCTCATGGGTGGGCAGAGCCTCTGTGCCCTGGCCCAGACCCTGGTCATCTTCTCTCCAGCCAAGCTGGCTGCCCTGTGGTTCCCCGAGCACCAACGAGCCACGGCCAACATGATTGGCACCATGTGTGAGTGGCGGGGGTGAGGCTGATGGTGCTCCTCTCCTGCGGCCTAGTGAGAGGGACCCATCACCTCTGCGCTCCCAGCTCCTAGAGGGCAAAGGGCTCTGCCTGTGGGCTGGGGACCAGGCCTGGCTGTGGCTGAGCTGACATGCGTCTCCATCTGTGCATCCAGCGAATCCCCTGGGCATCCTGGTGGCCAACCTGCTTTCACCTGCCCTGGTGAGGAAGGAGGAGGACATCCCCATCATGGTGAGGGAGCTCATGAGGTACAGGCACACGTGTGTGCATTTGTGTGTGGTGTGTGTGTAGGCATGATGGGCTTGCACGTGCACACGTGTGTACGTGTATTTATGTGGTATGTGTGCATGTGCAAGTGTGTTCACACCTGTCTGTGAGTATGCACCTGCCCCTCCCTGTGGCCACACCAGCGAGTGCACTTGGTGCACGTGGGATTTCTCCACTTGTACAAGTCCTCAGCACCTCATCAGGCACCGCTCTAGGGACTAGGGTGTTGGCTTCCTTGGTGGGGAGAGGCCTTTGGTGAGGCGAGAGGCTGGCTGCAGCAGGAGGAGGTGTTTATGGGGCTGGAGAGGGAGACAAGGCCCTGAGGTGGGTGCGAGGTGGAGGGGTAGGGCTGCAGCTAGAGGCCAGCGTGTCTGCTGAGCAAGGGGAGGGTGGAAGGGAGGGTCAGCCAGGTGGTAGGTGGTTGGCATTGATGGAAACCCAGGGGGTGTCTGAGCGGAGAGTGATTCAACCTGGCCCAGAGACTTGGGCAGCCAAAGTCGTGGTTGCAGTGTCCAGGCAGGGAGTGGGGACTTTGGTTGGGTGGGGCAGTGGGGGTAGCTCAGGCCAGGTTTGGAGAGGCAAGGGGCTTCCGGCTCTACCGCCCGGTAAGTGTTGGGGCCATTCGCAAAGGCAGGAAGGAAGGTTCAGTTGGCAGGTGGATGGGGTGAGTCGGGGGCCCTGGCAGAGGGCTGGGCTAAGGTTGTCACTGTGGGAGTCCTCTTTGGATGATATTTTGGAAGCCGGGGTTCCCGATGAAGCAACGCAGAGCAGGCCCCGAGGCTTGCCCTTGTCTGCCTAGGGATGGCGGGTGGGGGTGGCTGGCAAGGGAGGCAGTTTGCCATCTGTGTTTGCGAGGGCATGTGCATGCACACACACTCATGTGCACGCAGACACACACGCACACGCACACACACTCATGTGCACCCTTTCCCCAGCTGGGCGTCTATATCATCCCTGCCGGCATCACCTGCCTGCTGGCCACCGCCTGCCTCTTGGAGAGCGTGCCCCCCACCCCACCCTCTGCTAGGGCCGCCCACTCCACCTCAGAGAAGTTCCTGGATGGGCTGAAGCTGGTCAGTGCCGGGGATCCAGGGCTGGGGTCACCTGGGGTGGGGAGGCGGCCGGGGCGGGGAGGGGGTCAGGACAGGCCTCTGTGTGCCCTGCTGCTGTGCTGAGCGGCGCCTTCTCCCCCAGCTCTCGCGTAACAGAGCCTATGCCGTCCTGGCCGTGTGTTTTGGGGGCGGCATCGGCATCTTCTCCAGCTTCTCGGCCCTCCTGGAGCAGGTGCTCTGTGTGAAAGGCTACTCCAACGTGAGTGCTGGCCCCACCCTGCCCCTGCCCCTGCTCAGGGATGGGGCTTGGCGGCCAGTACTGCTACCCTGCCTGGCTGCCTCTGCCTCTGTCAAGTGGCCCAAGACCTCCCCAAGCACTGCGTTTCCAGACCTGGACAGGGTGACCTCCTGTTGTGGGTGGTATCGGGGTGCTGTGTGTGAAAAGTTGTGTCAGGTGCCAAATACAGTCTGATGATGAAGCGGTGGCCCTGGGGAGGGGGTGGTGGTAGTGTCCAAGTGGTACTGGGATTCTGCATGTGCTTTTCACTGTCTTTCCCAGTGTCCCACCCCGATGACTTCAACCCTGCAGGTCTCCAGGGAAGGGTCCTCCTCTGATATCTGGAGATTGGCAAGGCCTCGCTCTGCTCATAGCATCTCTGGCCATGCCCTCTCCCATCTGGCATCGGCCCTGGGTGTGGGATTCAGGCCTGGCACATTCCCAACTCATGAAGGGCATGTGGGCACTGAATGGTGTCTACAGCAACCAGGCCCTTTCCTTTAGCAATTGTTGGGTTCCCGGGGTGGGGTGACACAGGAAAGAGGCACCTGCAGCTGAGGACACGCTGCCCCTCACTCATAGCTAACGGTGCAGCAGTGCTTGCCACGTCACCCTGCCGTGGGCTTCTTGGTGATGGCGTGTGTCTTGAAGGTGAGTGCCTCCTCCTGAGGCCCCGGTGTCACTGTGCCCCAATGATGGGGTGCCCCCGACCTCCTCTCCCCCTCCAGGAATTTACAGGCCTTTGCGGGGCTCTCTTCATTGTGTTTGGGGTCCTGGGAGCACTGGCTCTCAGCCTGTATGTGGACCGAACCAAGCACTTCACTGAAGCTGTCAAGATTGGCTTCTGTCTCACCTCCATGGTCTGCGTGGCGTTTGCCCTGGTGAGAACCCCCCCCCCCCTTGAACCACGACCACAGGGCTGGGAGTGGGATGCGCTGGGGCGGGGCAGCGGGGCAACTGTGTCGAAGCAGAGCTTCAGACCTTCTGCCCACTGGAGTGGTTTCTGGGGGGGAGGGGCTCCCTGGTCCCCTGCTCAGCTCAGATGGTGCTGGTGTAGGGCCTGGCTGGGTCTGGGTGTCCAGAGCTGTGTCACTCTGACCGCTGGCCCTGTCCCTCTGTGTGGCTCACTGCCTGCAGGTGTCTCAGCTGCAGGGACAGACCCTCGCGCTGGCCGCCATCTGCTCACTGCTCGGGCTCTTTGGCCTCTCGGTGGCACCCATTGCCATGGAGCTGGCAGTTGAGTGCTCCTTCCCCGTGGGTGAGGGTGCGGCTGCGGGCCTGATCTTCGTGCTGGGGTGAGTGTCTGCCCCTCTACCACTTCCCTGGGGACCCCAGAGACCCTCCCCTCACCCCACTCCAGGCTCCACAGTGGGTCACCTGCATGTTCTGAGCTGTGGGCAGTCCTAGGCTGGCTGCTGGGGTCCACACTGACCAAAACAGCACACTGCCCTCAGAATGACCACTGTCACTGTGAGCAGTGAACAGTGCCTGGGGCAGGCTGAAGGCCTCGTGGCTGTGTAGGCAGGCCGAGGGCGTGCTCGTCATGGTGCTGCTGACTGCCCTGACCGTGCGTCGTGCAGAGCCGTCCGTATCCACCTGCCAGGATGGCCAGGGCCCGCTGGACTGGAAGGGTGAGTGCCCCAGCCTGCGCGGGACCTCGGGGCCTGGGCCTCTCCACTTCCAGCCCTGGAGACTCCCTTCCAGGGGCCCTTTTCTCTTGGCACCTTTCACTCTCCTTGGCACGTGCAGGGCACCCACAGGGCAGGGGTGGAGTAGAGTCAGAGGGCAACAAGGCTGACCTTTCGCCTCCAAGGCTTAGTATGGTGGGAGCAGCCCTGAGGCCCGTGATGAAAGCTCAGCTTTTAAACCCATGTAAGTTGTTTAAAAATGAGATCAGGGAAAGTGAGAGCGAGGCAGAGAGAGGAAGGACAGAGAGACAAGGGTGAGGATGGCCGCATCCAGGGACCCCGTGCTGGTGACCTTGGATCCCAGCACACCTGGGTCTGTGAACACGCCCTCAGGGCCTGTTGGATGCTGGGACACATCTGTTTCCAGGTCACTCTCTGGTCATGGCTAGTGGGGTCAGCTGGGGCTCTGCCAGCCGTGTGGCTACTCTGGGTCCTGTGTGGGGAGCCCTGGCTGCTTGGACGAGCCTCAGAATGAAGCTGGGCTGTGTCTCCCCAGTGTCCATGCTGCTGATGGCTGGCCTCTGCACCCTCTTCAGCTGCTTTTTGGTGCTCTTCTTCCACACCCCGTACCGGCGCCTACAGGCTGAGGCCAGCGCGAGCTACTCCATCCAGGAGGACGTGTCCCCTGCACCTGGAGACCGTGAACCCCACCCGGCACCCACCCCCTGAGGCTCTACCTCGGCACCCGCACGATCTCCAGCACTGGTGCTGTAGGAAGCTCAGGGCAACTCATTCCTAGAGCTGTTCTCCTGGCCCCACCTTCTCGTTCTTGGGAGCCCTGAACCCCTGGAACCCTCAGGACTTTCAGAGATGTCACAAAGGTCCCTGCTGAGGACTGGAAGCCAAGAGAGCAGTTACTGCATCAAGAAGTGGTTCTAGAGACATGAAGGGGAGGCCAGGAGAGGCAGACTTTGGTCACAGGGTGACATCTTCCTGCAGGTGCCGGAGGGACTTGGGGCAAGGCAGGATGGCCCAGAAGAGACCCTGTGGCCGTAGCAAGAGCTGTTGGTGCTGTATGACGAGCAGATGCCCCGTGGCCAGGCTGGACCCAGGGGGGCTGGTGCTGGAGCAGTGAATGGGGCATGAGAGACAAGAGCTAGGGGGATGGATCGGGGGTCCTGAGGGCCCCTAGCACGACTGAGTCTGGAGTGGACAGTTGTGAGAAAGGCTGTCCTTGAGGAATCCCACCCGTACCTTTACTCACCTCTGCCGACCACTGAGTGGCCTGACCCCCAGCACGAGTGCTAACACAGTGGGTGGGGCCAGGCTGGGCCGGGAGCGGGAAGCAGACGCAGGGCCCCACAGGCAGCCCGCTCCCTCCCCCAGCAGACCCTTCCCCTCCAGACTCTCCTGTTTCCAAGCAAACACTCCCACCCACAGTACACCCTCCCCACTCTCTCCCCCGCAAGGCAGACGCTTCCCCCACCCTCCTGGCAGAAGCTCCCCGCCTGCAGACTCTCCCACCCCCAGGTGGGACACCTCCTCCTCTCCCTCTGCAGACACGGGCAGGCAGCTGTGTAGGTTCGTGTTTATTGAACTGGCTGCAGCCCGGGTGGAGATGGGGGGATGCCCTTCACTCCTCCTTCTCCTCCCCGTGGGTGAGCACGTAGCTCAGCGCCTTGTAGTCCAGGTTGCCTGCAGCGTCGATGTTGGCAAACTGGAACATCTGGTCGACCTGCAAACCAGTATGGTGTGGGGGAGAGTCAGGCCAGGGAGGAGCGGACGGAGCAGAGTGGTCCAGTGAATTACAGGCACTGAACTCCAGCCAGCTCCCGGTGTTGTGTTTGCTTGTGGGGGTGGGGGACACACTGCAGAGCTACGGGTGGGCCAGGGCCCACCCTGATGGTGCAGCTTCTGGAGGCCCAGGACACCCCTTCCCCACCCCAGCTGGAGCCCAGAGGCTCGTACTTGGGCTGCACAGAGGGCCGTGGGGGAGAGGGTGGGGCGGGAGCAGAGTGGGCCCTACCTCCTCAGCCGTCATCTTGTCTGCCTGGGACATCAACAGCCGCTTGATGCTGAGGACAAGGAGGGAGAAACCGAAAGAGGCTGTTCTGAAGAAAGGGATTGGCTCTAGAAGAACTGGAGGGTTGGCCCCAGGGGAGTCCTGTGACCTGACTCTTCCGTGGTGGGATGCCCCAGGGGCGGTACGCTCACCCTTCAATCCCACCCACTCACACTGCAGGTGCGTTTGGGAAGCTGGCTCTAGGGTGAGTCCTCGGCACCAGGGAGTGGTCGATGGGGAGTCGTTCCTGACTCACACACTCGGGTCATGACCCCTGGCTGTGGTCCATCTGCTGGGAGTACACTGAGGAGGATTAGAGGCAAGTGCCTGGCACACCAAACGTGCCCACTCCCAGTGCTTGGCTGGTGTAGCCCTAAAAGGGGGTTAAAGACCCAGTAATGGTACAAGTGGAGGTGACCAGCTGGGTCACTGGGTGCCCCAGCCTTGGTGTGGGCAGGACTGGCTTTGCTGAGGGACCCAGGGTCTTGAGGCAGGCAGTCCAACCCCTGGAACCGGGGGTGGGTTGGGGGGCTTGGCGCCGCTCAGTGGAGATGCGCAGGCGTTTGTGGCCACACTCACTAGTCCTTGTTGATTCTGCCTTTGCCATCGGGATCCAGCATCTTGAAGGCATTTAGGATGGTCTCCTCGGCATCCGTCCCTGCCCACAAAAGGCCTTGAACCATGAGCGTTCAGGGCCTCAGTCCAGCTCCGGGGCATCCCAGGGCTCATCCCACCCCCAGCTCCCAAGCACCTGGGAGACCCTGCAGCTCCCACCCAGAGGGCACTACTCCAGGTTCCCTGGAGTTCTCCCCAGGCCCAGAGGTGGAGAGAGTGCTCGGCCAGTGAGGGACAGAGGCTATCACCAGTAAGTAGGCAGACGGGAGGTAGGGTGAGTTGTGTGACCCACAGATGTGGGCACCAGAATGCCAGGCTTTCAACAAATTGGAAAATTTGGATTTTTGTGTGAAATGCCTGGACTTCTAAGTGTTAGGAACCAACAAAACATGGATTGCTTTGGCAGACCGGCCTGGAGGCTGCCCCTGACCAGGGAGAAGCCTGGCTCCATGGTACTCCCCACCCCATGGTTCTCACCCATCAGCTTCGCCCCAAACATGTTCAGGAACATGGTGAAGTTGATGGGCCCCGAGGCCTCCTTGAGCATGGCGTCCAGCTCATCATCCTTGACATTGGTTTTGCCTGTCACCAATACAAGACAGGGGTCACTGGGTAGGAATGTCACACTCACCCCGGATGTCCTTGCTGTTGATGTGTCTGCTTTCCCCACTGGCCTCCCATATCCATCATTCTCCAGGTGACCCCAGAATAAAGTTGGGGAGACCAGAAGGAGTGCAGTGGGGGGGACACTTGGCCCAAGTGTGGTGGGGCACATGTTCTGCACATCAGCAGATCCCCAAACCCTGAGCCCTGGGGAGATGGACTGCTGAGGAGGAAGAGGCCATGCGTGGGGTCCAGGGAGACTGATCTGCTTACCTGGGTGTCAGGGGGCCCAGAGGAAAGAAACTTACCTGTCCTCCCCTGGGACTGACTCAGGCTGAGAACATGCCCCCAGATGGGAAGTCAAGGGAGAAAGGGCCAGCCTTTGGCTCTTCAGAGGAGCGTAAGTTGGCCTCCACGTCCTCTCCCAGGTCTGTTTCTGGGCCTCCTTAGCATGCCTGGGGGCAGGGGGGCAAGCCTCCCCATGCAGTGGTGTCCCTCTGGGGGGTCAGCCTTCCCCTGGAGCTTTGGTCCCAGCCCCCATCCACGATGCCTATGCTTGGTCATCTAGTGATGCCCTGACCTAACTGGAGAGGGGTTTCTCCCCCGGGGGAGACCTGGCCCACCTCCTCACGGCCCATGGGACGTGGGATGTCAGGTCAGGCTGTAAGGCCCATGTGTAGAGCAGGGCTCTCCAGGACTGGAGGACATTCTGAGGTGGGTTGTGGCGGGGTTCTGCCCCATGGCACATACCCAGGGAGGCATAGGTGTCCTTCAGATCCTCCTTGTCAATGAAGCCGTCTCGGTTCTGATCCATTAGTGTGAATGCCTGAAACCAAGGCCAGGGTCACTAGGTCGCCAGGCCAGCCTTGCTGTGTTAGGACAGGCACCTACTCTCATTGGCTCTGGAGTGAGGCTCACATAGGGTCTTTGGGTCACCTGCATCACAAATCCCAGGGGGCCCCCAGTCAGGAGCTTCTGGGGAGAGGGGACCTGGGTCAAGAGCAAAGCCTCACCTCCTTGAACTCCTGGATCTGGGTCTGCTCAAAGTTGGAAAAGACATTGGATGATGCTCTCTGGGCCCGAAGGCCCCCTCCTTCCTTCTTCTTGGTCTTCCTGCTCGCCTAATGTGAGAACAGCAAGGCTGAAGGTCATCCAGGCTGGCATTTTGGAAGATAATGCAGAGAACACACGGACTATAGCACTAAGGGCTCCAGGGGGACCCCAAGCCTGGGTCCCTGGGCTGAGGTGGCTGCTGGCGCTTGCTGTGGATGTGAGGAGCCTTGACAAGGCCCTGACAGCACAGCACCCCAGGCTTGTCTTGAACTTTGCCCTGCTCAGTCTGCCATCCAGCCGGGAGCCAGCTGGGCCTGAATATTCAAGGAGCAGAGGGATTGTGTAGGTGGCCAGCAGGTGGGTGGACCTGCTCTAGGGTTCCTACCAGTGCGAAGGCCAGGGCCCTCCATCTCTCAGCCTCAGACTGTCATTGAGATGGCCATGGAGCACAGATTTCCTCCCCACTCCACACACCTTCACACAGCTAAACAAAACTCAATTTGTGTGCACGTGTGCTCATGCAGGTGACACAAGTGTACATAGTTAGAGACACACTGTGCACAAACACATGCACACTCACACTCCCTCCTGCCCCAGTGGCCTGCGGGCCACACTCACCATGCCTAGGTCTGCCTGATGTGATGGTCTGTGCCCTCCCTGCCCAGGTCGCCTGTCTTAAGCTCCTACCCAGTCCCCCAGGACAGCTCGGACTCCTGCTGCTGCTCCCTACAAGGGCAGGCCCAGGGCCACCCTGGGGACTGGACAACTGCAGAGTGAGCTTTGGCAGCTGGCGGGTGACTCAGATGCCCATCCTCCTCTGCCCAGCAGGGCCCCCAGGCTTCCAGGCACCTCCCCACTGCCCCTCACCCAGAAGCCTTTGCTCTGTTTTCTGTACATCACCAGGGCCACGTACATGCGGACCAAAGACCCGGGAGCTGTAGGAGCTAGAGGAAGGAGCACCTTGCACAAAGTTCCTGTGAGTGGCCTTGGGGGCTGGTCACCAAGCATTCCTTGAACATGTTGTGTGCACCCTCAACTCTCTGCCTCGGTGGCAGAAAAGATCCAGGGCCCCATTCTCGTGGCAGGGAACTCCTTGCCTGGGACACAGTGGGGATAACATTTCTGGGACAAAGGGCCATCCAGATAGGCTGGGCCCTGGGCCAGCACTCGGGCAGCTTTCCCCACTACATTGTGGCCCAGCAGGCAGGGTCTGGGGAGGGCACCTGGCCCAGGTGCCTGTGAATGGTGCCAGATATGAGAGGTCACCACGGAGTCAGGGGCTGGGTGTCCTGGTCCTGGGTTGAGGGAGTGTAGGTTAGGCATAGGGGGGGGGGGGGGGGGGGGGGGGGGGGGGGGGGGGGGTCTGTAGCCTGAGCAGGAGGAGGGAGCTTGGCGGCAGAATGAAGTGGGCAGGCAGGTTCTGCAGTTTCACACCTGCAGATCAAGCCCCTGGAGCCCCTTGAGCCTGCACCTGGTAGGGAAGCATCAGCTGCAGCCAGTCCGCAGGTGCGCCCGGGAACCGCGTCACATGGGAACTACTACAGAGTGCCACTGTAGCAGGGGTCCTGCCCCCTGGGGCACACACCTTCTGTCACGTGACACCCCTGAGGTGGTCCCAGGGTCTGCACGGAGTATGAGACAACAGACACCCTGAAGAACCTGGGGAGGCATGACATGCCTGGGGGGACTTGGGGGCCCCCTGGGGTTCCACCTGGAGGACTTCCAGAGGGACCACCTGTGCCTAATGTGGGAGACCCAGGCAGGGCTGCTCTCTCAGCTGGGCAGGGTCTGACCCTGATGCCTGGGGAGACCCTAGAAGGGCTGCAGGAGTGGGCACCACCACAGCGAGAAGGCACGGCACGTAGGGTCTGTGCTCAGAGGCCCCTGACGTGGGGAAGGCCAGACGATACCGGCAGAGCCTCTGGGGAGGCTTCCTGGGCTGGCAGCACTAAAGATAGCCGTGGAGCCTGGCTCCTGGGAGAATATCGGGATTCAACATGGACAGCTGGCCCTGACAGGTGCAGGGGCACCAGCAGGCGGTTCCAGTGTTCTGAGCCTGGTGGGAGCCCCCTCGGCCTTCAGGAAGGGCCCTGGGCCAAAGCCAGTCCCCTTCAGCTTTAGGGGTCTTCTCTGGGAAGCCACATGCATAGGGGCATGTGTGCCTGTGTGTGCCCTCCACTGGCCCCTCCCTGTCTCCCCCGCCCCCCTGGAAGCTACTGGTATGTGGTCCCTATCAGCACTCTGGCCTCATCTGCAGCCCAAGAGACATTTATTTTTGATTCTGGAAGCAGGAGTTGCTGAGGAGTCCTGTTTATTTTAAAATCCAGGGAAGGGAAAACACTCTTGTCACCTGAGGTCGTCTGCCTAGCTGCTCAAGGGGGCAGGGGTGTGCACTCAGCATTGCCACATGGCATGTTGGTGAGAAAGGTTTGTTTTGTGCCTTGTGGGGTCAACATGTGCTTACCGTCTCTTCAGGGAGCAACGAGGGGGCTTGGGAAGGCCTTCCCCCCTCCCCAGGCCTGGCAGAAGCACCAGTGGAGGCATCAGGCAGAGGTCTCAGAGTCCTTAGAAAAGAGCCTGGTGACCCCATAGGATGGGCCTCCTTATTCCCACCCCCAGCCCAGGAAACAGCACAGGTGATTTTCCAGTTTCTCAGCTGGAGTCCCAGAGCCAGGACTCCAGAGAAGCAGGCTCTGCTCAGGGTCCCAGAGGCAGCCAGAAAGGTCTCCCTCTATGCAGACTTACTGAGCACCTGCTTTGTGCCCTGGAGTTTTAGCCTCTGCATTCCATTCTCTTTAGATTTATAGTTAAGCTGTCTTTGGAAACAGAAGGGTTTTGAAGAATAAGCAAAACTGGGCTCCCTCCGGTATATCGGGAGCCCTACTGAGTCCCAAGCTCTGGTTCTCAGGGAGCTTCTGCCTGGATCTGTGCTGGGCCCAAGGGGGTGAGTGGTCCACCTGCCAGCCCCTGCCCCCACCTGGTTGCCCTGGGAACCATGTATCAGCACAGCCAGCACAGTTGGGAGGCTGTCTGGCCACCACTATCCCATCTTTGGGCCGTGTCTCTGCACAGCTGCCGCTGACCTGTCATGCCTTCACCAGGGCTAATCGCAGAAGTGGGAGAGACCGGCTACTCTGAGGGGGACAGAGTAACTGTCAGGTTTACCCCCTGCCCCGTCCCACCATGATTAGCAGAAGTGGGAGAATGGGGCCCATCTGGGAGTTCTGTGGTCCCAGAGGCCCTGATTGAAGTGGATCTTGGATCTTGGAGCTGCAGGGTCCAGAGGGCAGCAGTCAGGGAGATCTGCTAGCTCCTAGGGAGACCCCAGACCACACCCCCTTCCCCCTCCGTGCTGGAGAAGCTCCTGCAGTGAGGACCCGCTGGTCTGCGGGATAGGATGTCTGGGGACTTGGAGTAGGGGAGGCTGGAAAGGGCTCCCAAGGCAGTGCCGTCCCAGCGGGGGGTTCTGAGGCCATCACAATCGGCCTAGCCTGAGTCACGAGTGGTGCAGCCCCCACCCCCAGACTGGACGGGGAGCCTGGGGGCCAGGGGGCCTGCACTCAGATCACACTTCGGATCTAGACGTGGTATTCCCTGTACAAAACCTTGAACCCCTTTCTGGGCCAAGGTCCCCTCCCAGTCGGTCCTTGAGGCTGACCTGGGGCGGCCATGGGCCTGGCCAGGCCTGAGAGTGGCTGCAGGCCGCGCTCCAGCCGCCCGGCGGGGGTGGTGGCGGGCTCCTTCCCCGACTTTCCAGGCCTTGATGGGAGCCCTGGCAAAGCAGGGGGATACAGTGCAATCTACTTCACACTTTGTCCATTATATTTGGACATATAATGGGCGGGCTCGATTGATGCTCAACCTGCCTGAAAACGTCAGGGCCCGCAGGAGACGCGGCGGGAGGCCGGCGCCTCACGTCCAGGGCGAAACCGTCCGCGCCGCCCAGAACCTGCGTCCTTCCGCGGTCGCGCATGCGCCACTGGTCGCGAGAGCGCGCCCAGTGAAGTCCCCGTCCCGAGCGGACACACGCCGTTCCACCTCCGTCCGCCGGGGGGCGCAGCGGCGCTCTTGTTCGAGGCCAACGGCGCATGCGCTCTCCCTGGTACGCTTTTACGTCTCCGCGGCTTTCCGAGCCCTTGCGGCGTCCTCCTGATTGTGCTTCCGGCGTGAAGGTTACCGACAAGATGGTGCCGCCGGTGCAGGTCTCTCCGCTCATCAAGGTGACCAGGTTTTGCGGCCGTCGCCGCGTGCTCGGCTCCGGGTGGGCTCCGCGTGCGCGACCCTTGGGAACCCTGGACACGCGTCCCCGCGGGTGCGACCTTCCACCCCCCTCCCCCTCCCGCGCTCCCCGGACCCCCGCCCTGCGCCTCCGACCCTGAGACTGTGATCCCTGGCCCTCCGACCCCGCGGGCTGGGACCTCCACCGGACCCTGACCCCGCCTCCGACGGCCCTTTCCCCGCAGCTCGGCCGCTACTCCGCCCTGTTCCTCGGCGTGGCCTACGGAGCCAAGCGCTACAGTGAGTGACCGCGGGCGGCAGAGGCGGCACTGGGGCTCCCCAGAGCCTGTTGGGGCTCCCCAGGGTTTACGGAACCCCGGAGAAGGGGGCCAGGGTGGGAGGCGCCGGACCCAGAAGCCCGAGCGGACGCGGCAGGTGTGTGGTGGACTTGGGATTAGCTCGAGCGGTCGGGACCCACAGTGCATCCTGATGCAGGGCAGCCCCCGGGGTCAGGAAGACGGTTATTCTAGTTGGAAGCTGTGGCGCCAGGTGGTGGCGGTGGAGTGCTGCGGTCTGACGGGGGGCAGCGTCTGGCGGCGCAAGCGACGGGGCGAAGTCCGGGCCGCGCGGTGGTGGGACCGGGCAGCCGCCCGCTGCCGAGCGGGGTCCGGCAGGCCTTGCACATCGAAGGGCGGGAGTGGAAACCCGCGGCATCTGGCATCCACAGCGCACCTGACGAGACCGCATCCCTTTCGTGCAGTGTTTCGTGAGGAAATTGAAAGTACCTCCCCACCTTCCTGCTTTCCTTCCACAGGCTACCTGAAGCCTCGGGCAGAAGAGGAGAGGAGGGTGGCAGCTGAGGAGAAGCAGAAGCAGGATGAACGGAAGCGGATTGAGAGAGAACTGGCAGAAGGTACCCGAGTTACTGCATCGTGCAGATTTGTCCTCCGACCCGATTGTAGAAACATCTGGGTGCTGCTTCAAGTGAGCCCCACTGCAAAGGGGAGGAGCTCCCTCTTTTTCTCCAGCGCTGGCCCAGTGGGTCCCCTGGCGGGCGGGGGGCAGGTGGAGCAGTCATGGATGATGACACCCCTGCCTTTGGTGAGGCTCAGTCCCCGGCCCGAGAGGTTAGTTGTCTGCGGATGTGAATTGGCGGTGCCACCTCACAGGGGCCCACGGGACTGGCACCAGGCACACTCATCCCGCTGACTGCTGAGTGCTGTGCGGGAACCAGGAACAGCGAGGACAAGGCTTTAAGCAGAGCATGGTCGGGCTCCACTGTGACCAGATCCTGGACGGTGCTGAGCACTGAAAGTCTGAGACGGTCTTTGGATTGCCCGAGCGTGTAGTAACACATCTGTTTTCCTTTGTTCCTTTTAGCCCAAGATGACAGCATACTAAAGTGAGCCCGCCTCTCTCTGGAGCAGTGTGGATGAATAAAGTTTTCCGTGTTGTGTGATGCTCTCCTGGACTGTCCCCGGGTGTCTCATTTCTGGACTTGAGCTCAGTACTTGCACTCCGTCCTCAGTATATGTGCGGTGGGAGTGGGGATGGGGATGGGGTTTCAGAAGAACTGGCCAGCCATCGCAGACCCAGGATGCAGTGCACAAATGAGCGGGGAACACTGAAATGCCTCTACTTGTTCTGTGGGGTATCTGGGTGGGGAGCCCCAAAGGGAGCAGTTTATGGTAGAGACACAGCCAGCTTGTGTGCTGTGGGTGCTGCTTGGTCTTTACTAAGCCCTAGCCCAGACGGTTGGGTGGGCCGTGCCAAGTGTCAGGATGGGACCTTGATCTCCAACCTGCTGTCAAGAGCCCTTCCCTCGACCCTAAGAAAGGCACGTGGCCTTCCGAGGACCTGACTGGGGTGCTGCACAAGCTCTTTATCAGGCTTGGACTCTTGCTGAGCTGACAGCTGGGTCCTGCCCCTCCTGGCTGTGCCTTCTAGCCTCTGAGGCTTGTTATTGGATTGCTGTTATTTCCCAACCAAAGGACTTCAGCACAGTTCCCTGGGCTCTGAGCCCAAATTTCATTGGTAAAACGAATCCATTTGCAAATGTGAGGAGAAAATGAGAAGCAAGCCTATAAACACTTAAAGCCATGGTTTTAGTTAAGGTGAGGTTTCAGGGAGCCCACCTCAGTTCCTCCTGAGTTTGGTGCTGAGTCCCTCTGGAGGAGCACCTGGCCCTATTCACAGGCTGTCACCAGGTGTCACTGCTGAGATGGAAACTCTCTCCATCCTGTGACTGGATGGCCTGGGGGTGCTCCCCACTCTCTCCCTACCCACCCCATGAGCTCTCGAGCTCTAGGAGAGGCCTTGGGTGGCATCTGAATTGGCCTTCCTGCAACCAGTCTCAAGCTGCTGCTGAGAGGAGTTTATTGTGGGGTTAAGTGTCTAGTGTCCGGGGAACAAATGCTCTCAAGTTCACATTATAAGGACTTCAAGTTAAAAGTCCTTAATTTCTACTCAATAGTCAGGACCTGTTTCAAATGGGAGTAGTGTTCTGTTTGAGTGTGGCTCTGCCAATTCATAAATGTCAGGAGAACCCTCACTTGTACAGGACTTGGGCAGACCCTAGGCCTGGCAGTGTGCCCGCTGGCCTCAGGGTCTGTCTGTCAGTGCACCTCTGTAGAGGGCTGTTATATGCATTTATGCACAGGTCACTTGTGTCTGATCACTGCCTCACTCATGGCCGTGAGCTTTCTGACAGAATTTTCCAACAGGTCATACGTGATGTGCCCTCCACCATGATTTCTGCTGAATTAAAACAAGGGTAGTGTGTTTTGTTTTTATTGTATTCTGAATTTCTGGTCCTATTTTTCCTTAAGCCAGATAGGCAATAGCATCTACGTATCTTATTTACCCATATATACAGAAATGTGCAGAATGTTCTCACCCAATGCTTTCAGACACAATTCACAGACCATTTCCAAAGATCTCTGTGGTATTGCTATGTACCCAAAAGATGGATGAGTGTAAGGTAGGCTAAAGTGTTTAAATTATTCATAGTTGATCTTCATTTATAAAAACACAAGCCTTAAAAAAAATTCAAAATATCCAAAATTGTCTTCAGTCACTTCGTTGGGATTCCCAACCTGTAGCAAATGGTTAGAGGTGGAGTCCCAGCGGGTGTGTGGGATGAGAGTGGTCAGAACACACTGAGCAGCTCACAGGATGCAGCAGGTTGAAGACTTGGGTGCGGGGCCGCCATTGCAAATCTCGGTGCCCCCTGCAGGAGAAAACAAGGTGGCGAGTGAGAAGTGTGTGCACTGGCCCGCTCCTTCCCTTCTGCCCCGTGTCCTCTACTGGCCCCGCAGGAGGAAGGGCAGAGCGTGGGACCTGAGGTCAGCCTAAGCCGATTAGCCTAGCCAGGGCTCAGCCTTTCTTTTCTTAGCGCTTGTGACACTTTCAGTTCTGGGCCCCCCAACCCTGAAACAGTCTTGTTTACATTGGTCCCCCCACCCCCCCAGGACAGGAAATAGCAGCAAAAGTTCCAGAGCTGAGGTGGCCAAGCACAGGCAAAGAGCAAAGTGACGTCAGGAATTCCATCTTGGGGGGTGTTGCGGACTCGATGAAGCCACGCCCCCACGTAGGGTGAACAGGTAAACATTCTGACTTCGCACTGGGAAGGGTGCCATGCACACTTGACACTTAGCTCACTTATTTTTTTAAGGTCTTCTGTTTTGTTTCTGAGGGTAACATGGAGGTGTCGGTAGATTTCCCGAGTTAATTAGGGAACTGCTCCCTGATAGTGGAAGAAAGACCTATTGAGAGTTCACGACGTTTGGGGGGATTTCCTCCCCTTTACAAAAGAAGTAACATTCAGTCACTTTATGAGGGAGAGAGTTCCTGGCCAGACACGGGAGGAGACCTTCCAGGCTGGGGCCTCAGCAGGGCGGACCTGAGGGAAGGCGGCCTCTGCCGTGAGGAACCAGGGCGCCAGCCACAGCGCTGACCCTGCCTTTTCCTGAGACTCGACTCGTCTAACGCTGCTCTTCACACACTTCAATGTGGGGACGAAACAAGTACCCGCCCCGCAGCCCAGACCTTTCTTGGCTGTTGTCCTCTCCTCCTGTTGCTGCTTCTCCTCCTCCAGGGCCTTCACTTTGGCCTCATGCTCGTCAGCCAGAGCCTTCCACTCCTTCCTGTTGTTCTGTAGTCGGTCAAACATGGGCAGGATCTCCTCATGGAAACGGGAAAACTCCTGGACAGGGAATCAAGAAGTTGGACCACACCTCCTGACCGTTCCCGGGCCGCTGGGGCAGGTGGTTTCCCCACGGCTCGGCCCTTGCTGGTGCCAGCCTGTCCCCGCCCCCCACGCCAGCTTGCCTCACTCCCCCAAGAGGAGAACCTGGGAGGGGGCCTGGCTGCCACTGAGAGGTCACTTTCCCAGCAAAGCCTTGGGAAGGGGAAGATAGGATGGGGAGATGTGGGGTATGAATGTTTATGGCACAGGTGAGGCCCCCAGGAATAAAGTAGGAAATGACAATGGCAGAAGGGGAGTCCCTTGGCAGAGGGAGTGAGAAGACACAAGCAGACACGCAAGTCCTGACTCTCCTCTGGCCTCTCATGCACACATCACCCC